TACAAGCACAACCGCAAGACTCAATATTAAAGTCTCAGCACGATAAGTCTACAAGTACAACCGCAAGACTCAATATTAAAGTCTCCGAAGCGACAAGTCTACAAGTACAACCGCAAGACTCAATATTAAAGTCTCCGAAGCGATAAGTCTACAAGTACAACCGCAAGAGTCTCTCGGACATAAAGTACGTATTATCTTAATAATACACTTAATAAGGATACATCTATTATATTTTATAATAAAATAATTTTGTAAAGAAGTTTTCTATGAGCTGGAAAGAACTAGTTTATTCTTCTACTATTTAAAGATATTCTATATTACGTGTAACTATAGGATGATTTTATGCCTAAAATGAAAACGTAAATGTGTTTCCACGTAAATTCTTTTAACTTACGAAAAAATGCTCGTCGTTCTACGTATTTGCAGAAAAAATAACAACAGATGGAAGTCTTGCAGTTCTCCCACACCACACACACACACACACTCGTCATAAGATAAAGGATTTGTTCTAGTGTGTCCACTTTTCATCGTTTGACGTTTCCTGCTAATAACTTGTGTCCTGTTTAACCTAGCTAGTCTTCGAACTTCTTGTAAGGTAACTAGAGCAGAAAATTTGAGAAATGAAGGTTTCAAGAACATAAACGATTTTTTCCTTGAAAGGTATCTACTTAAACTGTAAAGGATTCATGATGTCAGTGTAATGAGAACGTCAAAAGTACGGATACTAAAACTGGAAATTTATACCGAGTGATTAATGTAAACACTTCCTTTATCTAAAGGGGAAGGAGTGTGAGATGGCAAATTCAATTTTTATTATGTTATGCATTTGTTTACAGTTCATTTAACATTAATTCTATCGTTTAGTTAAGCTGTCAATTTTTAGTTTGTACTTAAATGCTAACTCGCCTTCTACCTAATGACATCAATTTTTAGTTTATATGAATTATGAGACTGACATCAGTTCCTCTTATCGGTGTATAAATGTTAATATCAACTTTTGAATGAACTCTTTTCAATAAGTTTTATCGTAAGAGATAGTGAGCAAGTGTTATTGATTATTATTGAAAGTTTTATAAACTAGTTTTGAACATATTATATTTTCTAATTCCTTTTATAGAAATATTAATCGTGATGTTCATGATATATTCTTTTATGTTAGTAGGAAGTTCTAGTAATGTACATATCCATAAATTACATCTAATCTATATAGTTTTATAAGGGGTAAAAAAAAAACTTATTAGAGACAATTAACAAAATACCCAACACCACCTGCAACCGTAGAAGAACGAACAGTACTATTTACAGATATTAAACAGACAATATTCGAAGTTGAAATGCGTCAAAAGCTACAGCGAGAGGCTTACAACCGTTAGTATATTTCGGACACAATTAAAAGTAGTTAATTTACTACTACTGTTATTAAGAATCTATTCATTATCTTCTGTAGTAAATTGTTTTATTCTGAAACTTATTCTAAGATGTAATGAAATGTCTAAACTTATTATTTTTGTTACTCTATTTCTTTATATTAAAATCAATTTAATGGTAGAACAATTTTATTTGTCTAAAGTGAAAAAAATATTTTCTCGACAGAATTATTTCTATACCAGAAAATGTTCATCGCTCTATGTCGTTGCAGAAAAAGAAATGGCGACAGAAGGCTTGGAGAGTGCCGCCCCCCCCCCCTCTCTAATAAGAGAATTTGTTTTGACGTGTCTATATCTCATCCTTCGACTTAACGAGTCATCTGCTCACCATTGATGGTCTTCGAAGTCAAACACTCCCTGTAAGGGGAACTACAGCAGGAAAGTAGAAGATCAATTCGAAGAGTTAAGAACATAAACAACTTGTCCTAGTATCTGTACTTAACTGTGGGGGGATTCATAATGTCAGTATAACGATTGCCTTAAAAGTAAGAATACTAAAATTGGGAATTTATAAGCAGTGATTTAATATTATTACATTCTTTGTCTAAATCGGAAGGAGTGTGAGATAGCATATTCTATTGTTATTTTGTTATGGATTTCTTTACCGTTCGTTTATTATTCATTCTATCGTTTAGTTAAGCTCTGGATTTTTATTTACACTTAAACGCTAACTCACCTTCTAGCTAATCGCACCAATTTTTAATTTATATGAATTATGAGACTGACATCAGTTTCCCCTATCAGTGACGTACAGATATTAATATTGGTAAATAGTATGTATATCATTTGTTATTTAATTATTGCAAATTAACGGGTCTTAGAACTCTAACTTCGTTAATAATAAGAAAGGATTTATTAAATAATCACATCTCTAATTACACGAATTAGAGATGCTTAAACCTGTACTAGAACCGAAAGATAAAGTCGAATATATAAGAAAATGGTTTCATCCTTGTACTGTAACTGTATTTAAACTGTGAATTATATTAGTATAACGTTATAAGTAAGGACTTAATTTTAAAATGATTAATGTAATGTGAAGTAGAAAGTTTCATTTTATTTAGTTTTGGATTTGTTTACAGTTATTTCTCATTATATCATCATTTAGTTAATCTGTGAATTTTTAGTTTGCATTTTAGTTATTCACATCCATTTAAAATTTTAATTATGAGACCGACACCAGTTTACTATAGCGGTGACTTATAGATGTTAATGTTGGTAATGAGTATATAAATAATGATCACATTATTTCAAATCTCTTGATCTAATTAATTATAGCAACTTTGCTGGTCTTTGGACTTACCTTCCCGTAACCTGAATCTGAGCAGAAGATAGAGAAGCTGAAGATCTGAGAACACTACGCCTTTTCTTTGTAAGGTACATGTACTTAAACTGGGCAGGATTCATGGTGTCAGTATAATGAGATCATTAATAGTAAAGGAACTAAAATTGGGAATTTATAAGCAGTGATTAATGTGATCACTTCGGTTTTCGAACGGGGAAGGAATACGAGGTAGCAAATTCTACTTT